CTCAAACACACCCATTGTTTAGTTGGCTGCAAACAGTAGACTGTTCAAAACAATGGTGAGTGCCAGCCAGGGAGAAGAGAGGTGTTCTCTATATGCTTTTAGAAGAGAAGAGGGAGCTGTGCAAAAGGTTTAGTTTTTGGTATAGAGAGAAAAAAGCCCCCTACAGCATGTCTACTGAGGAGAAGCAACAGCTCTTATAGCACCTTGCAAACAAATACAGTAGAAGATTACCAGGAACCTATGAATAATACTCCCTGATAGACAGAACCAGATTATGAGCCGAATGACTAGATCATGTGCCACTCTTTCATTACATCATTGGGACCTCCTCTGAAATTCCATCACATTGAAGCCTGGTGGGAATGTAAAATTGGCCTGGGTACTGGAGCATTTAAGTATATTAAAGAGGAGGGTTCAAGAAGAAATTGCAATGTCCAATCAATTTTGACCATGATTTCCTTAGGCTCTCATTTCATTCTTTCTTTAGTAGGCACTTAATAGATGCAGTTATTTTGGGATGACAGGAAGGGTGCAGCAGATAATCTATCCTCCCTCCCAAATAGAAAAATATTATTTTTTTAAAGAGTGTTAACTTTCTTGAGCACAAGATGGCAGGCTTCAGCTTCACTCCTAGGGAAATAAGCATGAAGAATGTGATTTGAAACAGAGGAAGAAAATGCTTCTATTATTCAGAAAATTTGAAAAATCAGCAATGATCAAATAGCTAGACAAACCAGTAAATAAACGGAACATTTGGAATAACAAGACCCAGATTGCGTAATTAAGCCTTTAGCCTGTGTTGGGAATCGGGGGAAGAATTTTGCTCACGACTATCTTCTCAGTGCCCAAAGAGCAGTGAACATTCTTCACTCACCCCTTTGGATAGTGCACTATACTCCTCTCATGTGCAAAGCCAAAGACGGAGCCAGGACTCCCTCTCCTACCTACCATATTTAGGAACCTAAATAAAAGTGGCCTGATATTTAGAGGTGCTCAGGACCTATAACTCTCATTGACTTCAATGGCAGGTGCAGTTGCTTAGACATGCCAGGTATGAACTTTTTGACTATTGTTCTTTTAAGAAAAAGATTATTTTTCAGTACTGTCAGGAAGCTCCACAATTGTATATTTGATTTCTTCTGATATTTTCTACAATTTCTGTGTTATAATAAAAAGATCATTTATTTGTGGGGGCACAAGTTAATGCCTTAGTGATTAATCTAAATCTCCGAGGCCTGTAATTTCAAGAGAACATTTTAGGACTTTCACTGTTTTCAGATTTTGCCTGCAATGTAACAAGATAGATGTGCTCTGGTGTCTTTATATGTAGCTGTTAAGTAGTGGTCCAAAAAGTCAGACTTTCACTTATCTGAAGTATAGATTTCCCACCTTGATGCTCAGGAGAGTCAAATTTGCCTCTGTGACATTACTAGGAAACTGTTGGGTCTGGGGGGATGTTATTGATGTGGATGGACCATCCCTTACAGGTGTTTGTCCAACCTGTTCTTAAAAACCTCCAAAAATGGAAGCCTATTCCAGTTCTTAACTACCCTTATACACCTCTACCCCAATATAACGTGACCTGATATAACACAAATTCAGATATAATGCGGTAAAGCAGCGTTCCGAGGGCGGGGGTGCTGCGCGCTCCGGCGGATCAAAGAAATTTCGATATAATGCGGTTTTCACCTGTAAGATTATTTGGCTCCTGAGGACAGCGTTATATCGGGGTAGAAGTGTAGTTAGAAAATTTTTCCTAATATCTAACCTAAATCTGTCTCACTGCAGATTAATCAATTTGCTTCTTGTCCTACCTTCAGTCGACGCGGAGAACAACCGATCATACTCCTCTTTCTAATAGCCCTTAACATATTTGAAGACTGTTATCAGCGTCTCTCCCACCCCCATCTTCTTTTTCTCAAGCCTAAACATTCCCAGTTGTTTTAACTTTTCCTCATAGGTCAGGTTTTCTAAACCTTTTATCATTTCTGTTGCTCTCCTCTTGACTCCCTCCAGTTTGTCCACATCTTTCCTAAAAATGTGGCATCTAGGATTGGACACAGTATTCCAGCTGTGGCCTCATCAGTGCTGAATAGAATGGGCTAATTACCTCCCTGGTTTTATATAGAACATTCCTGTTAATACACCTCACAATATGAGCCCTTTTTTCAACTGCATCACATTGTTGACTCATCTGCAATTTGTGATCCACCATAACCCCCAGATCCTTTCCAGCAGTATGATCACCTCACCAGTTATTCCCCATTTTGAAGTTCTGCATTTGATTTTTCCTTCCTAAGTGAAGTACTTGTCTTTATTGAATTACATCTTGCTGATTTCAGACCAATTCTCCAATGTCAAAGTCATTTTGAATTCTAATCCTGTCCTTCAAAGTGCTTACAACCCCTCCCTGCTTGGTATCATCTGCAAATTTTATAAGCATACTCTGCACTTCATTATTCAAGTCAATAATTAAAATATTGAATAGTACTGTCCCAGAACAGATCTCTATGGGATCCCACTAGATATGCCCTCCCAGTTTGATAGTGAACCATTGATAACTACTTTTTAAGTATGGTCTCTCAACCAGTTATGTATCCGCCATATAGTAATTTAATCTAGACCACATTTCCCTAGTTTGCTTATGAGAATGTCACGTGGCACTTAGTCAAAAGCCTTACTAAAATTAAGATATATCACATCTACAGCTTCCCCCCATCTCCTAGGCCAGTAACTCTCTTAAAGAATGAAATTAGGTTCGTTTGGCATGATATTGTTCTTGACAAATCCATGTTGGCTATTCCTTATTACCCTATTATGCTCTATGTGTTTACAAACTGATTGCTTAATAATTAGTTCAAGTATCTTTCCAGGTATTGAAGTTAGGCTAACTGGTCCCTGGGTCTTCTTTGTTCCCCCTTTTAAGGATAGTTACCATGTTTGCTATGTCATACTTCAGCACATGGCAAGAAGGGGGATGTACTCTTGATAGCAGATTTATATTTGGATAACAATTTTATAACCTTTACACAAATTCAAAAGCAATTTAATTTAACCAGATAACACTGTTGGCAATATTTCCAATTATACCTATTTATCTTACCTTCAGTCATCCCATTAAAGAGAGGTATAATATTACTAGTTAGTGTTAATAGTATGGCTGTGGCTATGCTAATAAAATGACAGGATTTTTGTATGAAAGTGCCAAATCTTGGAGCATGCCCAGTGAGAATTAGATGTTTTCTGAAGCCTGAGCAGACTTACACAGAGTTGAGTGCTCATGCAATTAATAAAAGTGCTATGCCAAGTGCTTTCTAAACATTATGATCACCACTTGATACATACTTCTAAAACAATGCCACTGCAACCTATCTGCCTTTTTAATTCTAGAGTTGGTTATATAAAAATCTCAGTTGGTTAATATAAAATTAAGACAAGATAGGGCTTTCAACAGATTTTTTGCAAAATGGCATAAAATCCGTGTAGCAAACTGCTTGGACACCAAATTAGGAGAAATTCAATTAAAGGTGATGCAGTGAATTCACTGGCCTTTGTCAATGTATTTCAATGGAGCTCGGCTGAAGGAGACCAGTGTTGAAGAAGAGGAGGTAACAACGGGATTAGTCATATTGGACCAGATTTTCAGTTAGGTATGTGCTATTGCACTTAATTTACATGTGCAAATCACTGAGGTACGTATGCAAATCAGATATTTGTGTGTACACGTGTTAAGTGCCTGTCTGCTTGCACAGAGACCTAATTTGTGTTCACACATCTTCTATTTGTTCACATAAATTAGAACATCTAATCCCTATTTCCATTTCGGCATTAAAGTGAAACGATAATAGAGCAGTAACACAAATCTGAGTTCTCTTTAAGACCATCAGAAGCACGGTGTAGTGCAGAGCCCAGAGGAAGCAGAAAAGGATGTACACGAAAAGATTAGTAGTAAACTGCACGCAGACTCCTGGCGCATTTCTTTTGCTTGTGGTGTTCAGCTTGTAAACACGCGGTGGCGCCAGAGTTCGCTGAAGTCTGAGGCACTGCGGTGGATTTTCCTGTTCCTTTCAAATTACTGCGGAAAAAAAATCCTACAGAGCCACTAATGAAAAGGCAAATTCCCAGACAAGGCATTTAAATGTCGCTCATTCATCACATACCTGAGCTCTTAAAACGATTACATTTTATTATACTATCATAAAAGATCACATTCTTTTCAAAAAACAATCTTTCTCTTTGCATATGTTTGTGTATTATATGCATATATGCCCCTAGGTAGTGGAGATGTGCAAATCTATAACGCGTATGCTACATTAGCCTAATAGTTACCACCGAGGATGGAAGGGCTGGTGGAAAAGCTGTATATTTTTCCAGTGACTATAACGCAATGTTGCAAGCGCACGGAATGCACATGACACTGTGCGGGACTAACTGCATTCAAAAAGGAAAAACACCAATAAACTGAGCTGTCCAAAACGGTTTCTTAACTAGTTATTATGCTCAGTGAGTCGGACACAGAAAGCCTGTTCGGAGCGATCTATGTAGAAAGCCATAATGTTGATATTAGAAAGTATCTAGCCAAGCCAATGCAACGTGGAGCCCTACGCTGTGGCGAAAAAGGCTCCCTTTCCCATGCACATCACGTCTTCGTGTATCTTTCTGGGGATGGGAAGGATGCATTGCTGGAGTTCGGAAAATCACGCTTTGATTTCTTACACAGCAAAGCCCGGAGGGTTCAAAAGAGGGACCGTGCTGGTGGTTGACCTCTCTCTGGTGTGTGTGTGTGTGTGTGATTGTTTGTATGTGTATAGACTCCAGCTTGCCTATTGGCATCTTGTTCTAGCACCCTCCTCTCTCTCCCCTCCTCTCCATCCCTCTCTCGCCCTGGTTGCTTTTGTCTTCTCTCTCTCTCTTTTTTTTTTTTGGAATTTCAGGCTCATTTTATGGAGTTTCTGCCCCTCTCTGCGTCAGCCCCACGTCACTTTGCCAGCAGCTCCTGAGCTTGGGCTGGAGCTGGAGCCTGGGCTGCTTTATTATCAGCTGGAGGAAGGAGACGGTGCGTAAAGGGCAGAGCCAGGAGCCGCGAGCCCCCCGGCAGCAGCAGCGCGCCGATTCCTCTCCCCCAGGCAGCAGCGGCCGGAGCAGGCAGCGCCCCCGCAGGTAGGAGCATCAGCCACTCGCCCCCTTGCAGCCCCCAGCCCGCCCGGGTGACCCGCTGCCCCCCTCGCCGGGTCCCGCGCGCTCCCCGCTCCGCCCGGCGTTTTGCAGCATCATCGGGAGCCGAGGAGTTGCCGCTGCCCGGGCTGCGCTCGGCGCCGGAGCCGCGTCCCCACTGCAGGGGCAGCTGCCCAGGAGGGAACGGTCCCTGCCCCGGGTGCCCGTCAGGAACCCGCGCTGAGCTCTCGGGGCAGGTTTCTCCTCCTGCCCCCGACGCTGCCGGGGCCAGTCCTGGCTCAGTTCTCACCAGTGTCTCTCTCCCCTCCAGCTCCGCCGCCTCCCGCGCTCGCCCCGAGCGGCTCCGGGGAGCCCGGGCAGGCAGCGGGGAGCGGAGGCGTCGCTCCTGCCCGGCCCAGCGCGCCCATGTGAGCCCAGCCGGGGCCGGCACCGAGCCCTCCCGCAGCAAGATGCCCGAGTCCCAGCCGCTCTGAAGCGCCCAGGACGCTCCGCAGACGCCGGGACGGTCGCTGGAGGAGGCCGTCGGGGCAGCGGGCAGCGCTGGATTGATCGGGGCAGCATGGTGTCCTGGCGGAGGAGGTGGCAGGGGCCCGGCCTGGCCCGGCTCTGGGGCTTCTGCTGCCTGGTGCTGGGCTCCTGGAGGGCTTTGCTCGCCTGCCCGGCGCCTTGCACATGCAGCGCCTCGCGGATCTGGTGCAGCGAGCCCGCGCCGGGCATCGTGTCCTTCCCGGTCCTGGAGGGGAGCGCCGAGCGGGAGAACATCACCGACATGTGAGTAGCGCAGGGGCTGGGCACTGGCTGCTCCCGCGGGGAGAGCCCCGAGCTAGCGGAGGGGAACCTGCTGGGCACCGGGGATCTGGGCAGAAACGCGGAAGAAATCCTCCACCTGTCTCTCCAGTTCTAATTTTATTTAATTTTCGTTATATTATAATACTGTATTATGCTTGTGTATGTATATTCTCTCTTTCTGTGCATACACACACAGACAATACATGTGTGTATCAGAGAATTAATATAATTAATCGTTTTATTTTTTGTATGTGTATATGTCAATTTGCCTCCCTAGAGAGAGGGAGCGAGAGAGAGTGTATGGGTAAAGAGACTGAGAATCTCCTTAGTATGTAGATATGAGAGAACCACTTACATTTTGTATTGCTTGCCTCTAAGGCTTGCAGAAATGATGCTCACATTTTCCTTGCAGCATCTCTTTTGCAAGTCTCAACAGTAACCAATATTTTTAGTCATTTCGTTATGAGAAGGACACCAACAATAGGAAAGGAGGTTTTGCTTAAGGAAAGATTCTGAACGATCTGTAAGAGGAGAAGTTCTCTGCATTGAAAGGCACTTGCTCAGTTGGAAAATGTGATCGTGGGAAGCCTAAAAGCCTGGTATGATTTAATTTAGACTTGACTTCCCAGAGATATAATTTCGAAACCATTTAGATTATAAATCTTAATTGCCCTTGGTACAGTTTCCTGGGAATAAGTTAGATAATAAAGCAGTATAGTACACAGATAGTGCTGATTTTAGTACAAGGCCAATGTGTTATCAGAAAATTCTTCTCTGTCAGATTTTTCTTGAGAGAGGCAGTAATGTACATGTAGCTATCACTTTATCCTTCTTTTTTACAGATTGTTACAGATCAGTAAAGAATTACTACACTACACATATTCCACCTCTCTTCTAGACAATACATTAATTGGGGCCTCTATGTCCCAATTCTATATGTTCTTCCTATTCATGCAAACAGAAAATTTTGATGGGTCACTCTTTCCCCAATCAAAAATTTGACCATTTTGTTTTCTTTGCTTTTTTAAATGGAAGTAGCGCATTCTGACAGAGTAGAATGAGGACTGGCTCCTCACTGGATAGTATGTGTGTAAGCTCCTATTGCACATGCTCCTTTTCTGTAAGGTAGCGAGCAAAGATGCAATGTTGAGTCTGAATGTGAATGCAGAACCACACTCGTTTCCCCCTAGTTGTAAGCAAGTATTGTACCATGATATTATTTATGGGGCTTTGACAAGTGGGTGCAAGAGGTTTTTCAACTTCAGCCATTGTGAGCCAGACTGCAGTTGAGACCTATGTAGTAGTGGGTTGTGTTCCTGCTTGGGGCCTGATCCTGCATTCTATACTTTGGCAGGCTACCTTCTCACTGAAATGAATAGATGTTTTATCTGAGAAAGGACTGCATGATTAAGACTCAAGGATCCACATTTTGGATAATAGAATTGTAGAAGTTAGAGATGGAAAATACCTCTAAGGCTATCTTGTTCTGCTCATACCTACCCACTGATGTATTGTTCCCTACAGTATTTTTAGTGTACAAGGTACCATGATCTTTTTGCCAAAAACTACATGGAAATCTCTTGCTGTATTTGCCAGTGTGTGCATGGCAGAGGGAAGGGCTGGAGACATTCACTCCTAGTAATGCAGGGCCTACATTTTGTAGATCTATTTATTTTTGAATGCACGTAACAGAATTAAGTATTATTTCTAGGCTATGGCAGGAATGATCATTGCAGATGTTTGTTTAATATTCTGTAGGTTGCTTCTCCTGGGGAAAAAAAAATCCTTCCATGCCATGTACCATCACTCTACCATCTTCCCTATTATCAAATATCTTCAATGTAGCAATAACTTAGCAGTTTTTCCTCAGAATTTGAAATCCTCCATTTGAAAAGACAGAGAAAAGAACCCATGTGTAAATATATTTGGCAAGCTTGATCAACTTAAAATATATATTTTGCTGTTTAGATTTTAATTTCTATCAGTTGATTTTTTCCTTTCTGTATTTTTTCATCAGCATCATCATTTGTCTTTCCATATCTTTTCCATTTCCACTATATCACCTTGTGATGTTACATTTTGTTGTGATTGGGGATATAAAAATAACTTCAAATCACTGATTTCCCAGCATACTAGTGCACATATTTAAGATAGAAAACATTTAGACTGTTTTTTAACATCAAATCATGGACAGGCCTTAAGATGCAAACATAAATTAAAAACCAGACTACCATAGCTTTCCTATCATTTCCGTGTGGAAACTCAGCAAGCATTAAACATGCTAGGAATGCATCTTAATATGATATATTCATATAGTCAAAAAAGATAAAACATTTTGAAATGCTCCACAGCCTGCTGTATTTTAGGTAACAGGATATGATAATGGACTATACTACTCCACTCTATTCAGTAAACTTCAGGTCTGGTTCTGCACTCATATATGATAGCTTTACACTGGCATAACTCCATTGAATTACGGAAGTGTGACAGTAGAATTAGGCCTTTAGTTTCTGGTCATTCCCCTTTTTCTGAAAAACTTGACGCCAACTCTGCATTATTGCACACACCCAACTCTTATTTGGGTACAGATATTACAGTTTTTAGGCAAAACTCCCATTGACTTACAGGGAAGTTTGACTGAGCAAGGACTTTGTGACAGGGACATTTAGCCAGTGGGAATTTTGAGTGTGTAATAACTAAAGGGTTAGGTTTTATGTGAAATTACATTAGGTTAAACTCACCCAATTGCAGAGAGCTGGCTGAGGGCCCTGTGTATGACTTAATTCCTGTGGTGGGACTGTACAAGGTGGAGAATGGGGCAAGCTGTGGGTGGAACAACTGTGCATGGTGAACTCTTGGTTGGCTGCAAATAGGAAGGAGAGGGTTGTGGGGGGATAGCTGGGGCTGGGGCTAGAGGATCCACAAACACCCAGATACAGCAGCCTGAAATCCCAGCATAGAGTGCATAGATTTAGGGGGACTGGACTTTCTATTCCAGCCCATAGGCAAGTGACAGTTTAGAGGCAAATGCCATCTTCCCAGTCCCTACTTAATTCCTTACACAGTGCCTGATCCAAAGCCCACGGGAGTCAGTGGAAAGACCTCCATTGACTTCAATACACTTTTGATCAGGCCCACAAAGTCCAGGCTTTGTGAGGGGAGGGGTGAATTTCTTTCACCCTGTGTGTTCTGCATGATCATCTTCCATGTTGTTTCTTCCTCAGTGATTTGGGCACAAACACATATTTATATTTTAATGAATAAAATAGAAGTATTCTTCAGAATCTTTGCCTATAATTGGATTTGATTTTATCCTGTTACTTAGGGCACTGGCATGTGCTGGAAACATTCTGAAAAGCATGCAGCCACTCTGCTGTACCATAACAGAGTGTAACCTACTTGTGACATGATCGTTTCATAATATTGGTGTTACTGATAAAATAAACTCCAAAGTGAGACTCTGAATTAGAATCATAAAATCAGCCATTGCAGAGCTGCTGCTCACACTAAGAGCTAAGTAGCAAAAGCAGGAGAGAGCAAAATCCATATATTACAGGCACAATGGAACAGAAATATTTCATTGCAAAATCACTTGAGCTAAAATATCAATAGGATGGTAAATGAGCCTCTTAAGAGTTCTTAGATTTTTAAAGATCTAGTCTAATATTCTTCCTTTAGTAAAATATACAGTTAGGGTATCAGTGTATGTGGTTGTTCATAGCTCTTTCTATCAATATCTCCTTGCAATACAGCATGTTGCTGGCCTAGTTTAGCAGCTCTAAAGTCATGTCATTAACATGCTGATTTATGACTATTCAACTGTTTAAAATTAACTGGTGTATTTAAGAATGAAATACTTGCCAACAAAATAGTAGGTGAGTTTTCAACTCTTCCCATATAGAATACAGAGTGTATTGTGTGTACGTACATTTAAAAACCACAAAGTAAATTTCTGATGCAATTATATAAACCTCTCTAGGATTGTTAATAAAGAAGCACACTATGTAATTTACATAGTAAATAATTTAATACATCTTCTGAGTGTGTGTTGAAAAAAACCTACTTACATTAACATGAAGTACAGTTCATATTTTTGGTCTTTGTCATTTTGTATTTCTAGTCTCTTGCTGTAGATTACATATAATGTAAAATTGTCTTGAAGGATGCCCAACCCCACTCCCCTCCTTCCACCTTTGGCCCTATAGGATGCTATGGTTTAGCTGGAATTGAAGGTTCTTCCTGATGATTTGGAGACAGGAAGTAACTGGAGGTATCAGGTTGCATATTATTAGAGAGAGTATGGACGATAATGACACTCCTTAACATCCCAGGAGTTAAGAATTTAGCCATGATTCCATTGTAAAACCTGTGTTTGTAGGAGTTTCAGTATCTGTTTTTAATAGTTACCATGAGCTGAAAATTAGCATTTTCAAAAATATGTTTGCCTTTTAGGATATAGGAATTACCAAATTATTACAAGTTTAGTTTTTCTTGTGCAGGTTCCTCTTTGTTTCCCATGTAACCCTCATAAGCCCATTGTTTTAATCCTTGCCCTTCCAGTTAGTGAGAACTGGATGGAATTCCTTTGGAAACTTGGTCAATGCTGGCCCTTAAGAATGGGTTCCTATGAAGTGCTGAATGCTTCCAGAGAAGTGCTGCGTTCCAGAGCTCAGCACCCTCCAGAAAGCATTCAGCACTATGTAGGATTGGGCCTACAAAACATTATCTCTAATCCTGTAAATCCTTACTTGCCCAATAGTTTTATAAAGTCAGTGGGACTACATAAACTACTCATGTAAGTAAAAAGCTGCAGGACTGAGTCCTGCTTATGTTATCTCCACCACAATCCCAGTTCCTTTGCTCCTGAGGAGAAGATTAAGGCCAGGATGGAATTTAAACAGTCTTTTTTTCAGTCCAGTGTAGAACAGCAGCCCATTGGGCCAGCCCTCAATATCCAAAGGTTGATATTTTTCAGATAGCAT